CAGGAATCGAGGCCATATTTTAAAGACAAACATGATGAAGTCATCATCAGAGACTTGTGATAAAAGTTCCCAAAATGTTACTTAAGAAAATGAATGAGATGTATGTTCTTAATTGTTAAGCACTTAGCATTGCAGTTCTTAGTAGCTAAAATATATGGACCATTCCTCTCCTCTGTCCAGTGGGAACTTTTTCAATGCCCCAAATTGTGCACTATTGCCTGTTACTGCAGGGTTTGGTATTTTGGGGCCAGTATGGTTCCAACCAACTCAGTGAGAAAGCAATGCCTGAGGGATGAGCCTGTCCACTTGCACTCAGCTCCCTCTTCTGCAGTCTCATCCAGAGGGATCACAGCAGGGGAGAGAAGCAGGGGGAGGATGAGGAGAGTACCTGGGCCCATGACATTTGTCTGTGCAAACCTATTCTAAAGTCTTACTGTAGGGATTAAAAAATCCAATTAAGGTATTAAAAAATATATATCTCTAGGGATTTAACAGGACAATATAAAATTTGCTATTGTTGGCATTTAATAGGATTCACACTGCATAGCCTAGCAGCACTCGTCCCTCTGAGTGCTGTATCCACTTACATTGCTCATCCAGGCTTGTTGCCGTCAAGAGACATATAAAACTTAATATCCAAACTACCTTCTTTCTTCTTCTCATTCAGATATCCATCTACTTGCAGCTGCCAAGGACACTATTTAATTATTTTTTTTCCTATGTCCTTCTCCCCTCAGATCTCAGTCCATCACCTCAGGCAAGACTAACGTGGGTGCCCTGTCCCCAGCAGTGGAGTGTTTCTGCCACCCACACCTTGACCTCCTGCAGCAATAACCTGCAACTGATGATGGCTGCCAAACACAGGGACTTCGCTGCCAAACCAAGGACTTCTGAGGAGCTGTGTTGGGTCTGTGCAGCCCCAGACTCACCTTTGCCTCCAAACAGCTACTGCATAAGGAGCACTGCCTTTCTTCAGGCCAGCTCCAGGACGAGAGGCTGCACTGGCTTTGCTGGGCAGCCAATTGAGCCCTCCCTCACCTGCAAAAGCCTGCCCAGACCACCAGTGCTCTCAGGATTTCTCACACTGGAGATTGGCCTCCTGGAGGTGTTTGTGCACTCAAAAAAGAATTAATAATGAGAGGAGAAGTCCTACATCTGTTCTGCAAGAAAAAAGGGGTTTTTTTTCAGCCACAGATTATTTATTATTTATTCTAGAGACATCTCTAGCAGGGCAGAAATCTGTCTCACCCAGACCTGAAGGCAGATGTCTCATACTCTTGCAAGATGGATAAGAAGATGATAAACAGGGAAGGGAAGCAGACTTTGTGTAAAGCCATTAAAGCCTCTCCAGAAAGCAGGCTGGGCTATGTGGCGACTGAAGACATTAGCTGTCATTTCATATGAAAATTATATGTACTCAGCAGCTTAATAATGCTCTAGCTGGTTGCAGTGATTTGCATAAAAGGAAGTCAAAACAGGGGAACAGGGAGCAAGAAAGAGATGTGGCACCTCCAAAGAGAGCATGAGGGAGCTCGATGGCTCCAGATATTCAGGGAAGAAAGCAGGGGGGAAAGATGCACACCTTGAGGTATCCTATGTGTATGGGTATTACCCCTGCACAGAATGGAAAGTGAGGGAAGGAAGTGGTAAGAAAAGATGGTCCAAGCCTGGATTCAGGCCATGAATTCAGACACAGGGTCCTATTTTGGGTCTTTGCTTATGGACACCCTGAGGTGCTGCACTTCCCCACCCTCCTCACCTACCCCAAAAACCAGCTGAGCTGGGAGGAATTCCATGGATCACAGTCCTGCTTCTGGTCCCCACTGCACTGCAGGACCAGGTGAAATCTCAAGGCCATTGTCTCAGGCACCACAAGCCCCTGGATGAAATCCAGCTATCTATTTCAGCCCCATCAGGCAAAGCTGTGACAGACATTCACATCCCCTTACACCACTCTGTGTAGTAAGGGCCTCTGCAAAGCTTCCTCTGCCCTGATTATTCATGAGGCAATAATTCAGATACCCCACAGACAACGAGTAAGCAGCAGACCTTCTAAAAAGGCTTTTCATTTTATCATAGAAGCTTTTAAAAATAACCCTAGATGGGCTACAGACCTGTCATTTATTTTATGATTTATTTCAGTGATTATGGAATGTGCTGGACTAGTGAGGGGGGAGATCCCCCAACATCTGGAATATTGGAAGATAAAAGCCCTTGTGTTTCCAAAGAGCCAGCAGAAACATGTGGTATTTCCCAATGTCGCTGTATTTGCTAATTAGACTAGAAAGGAGCTGATGTTTAATTAATGTGATTCTTTTTAAGATCGTCCGCAGAATTTCTGTTTGCGCTTAACCTTCTCCTTCTTGCTATTGCTTGCTGTCTCGCTTTTGTTTCATCTGCTTCATAGGCGCTTTACCTGTCAAGCTACAGGCAGCTGCTTGTCCTCACAGATCTTTCCATTTCAGGATGGGCAGCAGCTAATTCTGCAGGCTGGTGTATTCTTGATTTGAAAGGCAAATACCATTTCCTGGTATCAAAGCTACAAATCAGTCACTTGAATTTTAATTCTGCATCATTAAGAAAAAAATACAGCTGTCACAAGAAACAGAACAGCATTTTTACTTGCTGGTAGTCAACATTGCTCATTCATTTGCAACTTTAACTTCATCTAGGGAAAAGAGCTTTTAAGGCAGCAGCAGCCACTCTCCCTCTCTCTGCAAAGCTGCTCCTGGTAATTTAAGATTTTGAAAACAAAGAAAGATCTTTCAGTTATGGGTTAAGTCTTCTTCAATAACCATTGTGACTCTTTTTGGACCTAAACACTTCTTGCACATGCTCTTCCTTCCACTCCCAAACTGAAACCATTGCAACAATTCAGCAAAGTGTTGCAGTGAGATTTTCAAGCAAGTAGGGTGGCCATCATGGACAATTTTAAGCATTTTGATTGGAGGGGGTCAACTTAGTGCTCACAAAAAAATGCTAGCAGTGAAGCTTTGAGACAGCTGGGAAGGCAATTAGCACCTAATATGATTATTGCTGCTCAGGAGCAGCACTGGTTACCTCTTGCTTTGGCTGGTACAATAGTACTTTTCAGTCACTGTCTATCATGGCAAGTGGCAATTTTTGTAATGATGACCCACAGGTGGACATTTTGAAACTGGCTCCTAAATGGATGTGGGAAAAACCAGACCTCAGCTGGCTGAGATATGGGAGCTGACCAAAGAGCTGGGGAGTTTGTTCCCATCCAACAGCTGAATTAAACTTCCTAGAAAGCTGACTGTGACGCAGCAGGATGGGATGCGAGGGGCTTATCGCTCGGCAGAGATAACCAGAAAGGCTTCTAGGGATCCCAGATGGTGCTCTTCAGCAAACAAGCCTCAGAAAGCCTCGAGAAAGGAAATTGAACAAGAATGAGCCAGTTCAGTGATGGGATAACCACTCAGAGCAGTTCTGGGGCTCCCAGAGAAAGCATGTGGCCAAACAGATGGTCCCAGGCAAAGTAGCTTGAGAGGCTTCCACCTCTTGGAACAGCACAAATTTCCAACTGCATTTGCTTCTCAATGTTAGACACTGGTTTTACAAAAGCCCTGGTTTTATTGGTCTCTGTGTGTAATGCCGATGAGACATGAACTTGGATTAAAATGGGATGTCATATTTTCAGTATTATGTTTAGCCAGCTGGCTTTCACTCCCATGAAGGACTGAAAGCAATAAGCCGTATCACCTCAGAGGAACTGAGAAGGTGGGTCCCCCGATTTGCATGAGCAACTGTTTTGCAGAGTTCAGTGAGGGAATTAAGAAACCTTCCCATGGCCTGACCCAGTGCTCACAGGTGTCTGTGGAACACAGCACAGTATTTGGCTTTACCATGATTTATTTCATATAAAGAAGCATTCTTCTTCCCTTATGAATAAAGGAGGAGTTTGGGGGCTTTCCTGCCCCTAGTTAAATGAACCTAGGAAGTACCACCAGGAAAAAAAATCACTAAGCACTCGAGCAGCTTGTAAATACTGAGGGTTTTATTTCCACATCACATGGTCTCCAACAGACTCTTAAACAAGACCAATTACAATTTAGTATGCCCAGAGATCTTTGTGGTATTCCCAAAACGAAGGAAGTTCTCAGTAAACGCTGTACATAGCCAGTTGAACTGCTAACAATAATTTAAAAACTCTTTTTGTATAGTCAATGCAAGGATACCAACAATAAAAGTACAGTACAGGTAAATTCACAACAATATTACAGTGAAACAGATTGACTCACATTTATGTGATGGTAGAAGTACAGTAGCAGTATGTACATGCACTAAAGTGCGAGGACCCAGAGGCATGCAAGTCAAGTATTGTAGGTGTATTTTACAGCTAACTCCGTAAGACTTTCTGAGGCATTCTTTTTTTTTTTTACACTTTTTCTTGTGTTTACCTGTGTTCCCCTCCATCTCAATTCGTACAAGTCTAGTGAACTAGCTTAATGGCTTTCTTCACTACTTAAAAGGTATTGCTTCAGACAGTTGAAGCATCTTTAAGAACCTTACTTTTAAAAAACGGTAACACTGACATTAAAATAGATTAAGATTAACTTAAGACCCTAGTTTTACATGAAACAAAAAAAACCCAACAACCCAAAAAACCCAGAAATCAAAATCGAAAACATAACAGTGCAAATATAACCAAAAGGCAGTCAGTATTTGGAGAGAGCGCGAGCACGTATTCAAATTCCCTTAAAACTTAATTTACATTTTATTTTAAATCTTACTTTATATCATTTTTACCCTTTTTTTGTTAATATACTGTATGTAGAAAAGATGGAGACAAAAATAGTTTTCTCAGCTATGAAAAAAAATTAAGTTATTACAGGCACATTAACTGTTTCATTCTAGAAACACCTCTTGTTTCCCAGGTCGGACATTCAGCAGCTGCGTCTGAGAACATTCTTTGACCTCTCCAAGCGGACCTCTCTCCTTGGCGGCAGAGACGGCTGGCGGGCGACCTGGTGGAGGTGAGTCGCAGCCCCCCTCCCTGTATTCCCATGTGGCGTCAGGCCGGCTCGCCTCCCTGGCTGGGGGTCTCTGCCACCAGCTCCTTGCTTCCGCTCTCCTCCGAGGGAGTCAGGTCTCCGGTGGACTGCGACTGTGAGGCAGTAGGGGAATGTGAAGCCCATCGTGACGGTGGGCGCCGGTTCGCTGGTCTCTCTGGCCGGGAGAAGCAGGGTTGGAGGGACGGGGCTAGTGCAGAACAAGGTAGTTCCTTGGCAGCCAAAAAAGCAAAACAGCGGTTAGTGACTTGCATTAGAAGCCGTCAGGATGAGCAAAGAATTAAGAAACAAACAATTCAAACTATAGCTAAGCATCTGGCACATTGTGGGACAAAAGCAAGCAGCAGACATCTGTCTGTGTGTGGGCTCCAGGTATCTGCATGTATGTCCGTGGTTATGGAACAGGTAAGGAGAGAATGAACAAAAGAGGTCTGGGATGGGCTGGAGGAGCGGACAAACTTCCATTTGCTAATTCTCCTTGTGCTAGAAAGAGAAGAGCTGAAAAGTACATTTGCATGACAATTGAGGAAAATCATCACGTTGCTCTAAGTGCTGACCTGGCATAACAGGGCCAGATTTGGTATTTGCAAGTGGGGTGAAAAATCAACCACCAACTTCTTTTGTCTGCTTCAGAGTTCAGACTGACATGCAGGAAAGACTTCTTAGTGGCAGAATAATGACTCCAGGACTAGTTATGATCTCCAGCTGGATTAAAGGTCAGGCTTACCTACAGATTTCATCTTCTGGAACATCACTCCTTACTGCCAGCTGCTGAAGCCTGAATTACAGGATTCAGTGGTACTGTACATCAAAGACAACATTCACAGAAATGGAAAAAAACCTGAAATCTTATTCCTCCACCAACTTTCCACTGTTCAGGCTTGGTAGCCTGCCTTTGTGATTAGAAACAATCTGCAGTTATGATTTTTCACCTGGGCACTAAGTGGGTAATTGCTTCTAATATTTATGGACTTGGTTCAGAGCACAGATAGGCCTCCTGACTTGCTCTGAATGCTCCTTACATCAAGATGAGTGATTCTGGGAGCAACTATGTCTTGTAGTGCCAAAGCCAAACTTCTGAATGTCATTGCATACTTTGTAACTTATAATAGCAAATCAGAGGAGTTTGTCAACCTATAGAAATGTGTACACTGAGGCACAGTCACTGGAGAGGACAGAAGAGTTCGATAAAAATCAGTCTCAAAATCAGAACACAAACTGGCGATAAATGGAGAGAGACCAGAAATGATACAATGCAAAGGAAGAGCTCTGGCATGGTAAGGCACAGGGAAACCAGGACAGCAGGAGAAAGAAGCAGTAGGAAGCAAAGGAGAAGGAGAGACATGACTAGGGATGGAGAGTACCGGAGTAGGTAACATGATGTGACTGGCAGTGAACAAACACTGTGATATGCCATTGAACCTCTCCAGTGCAGTGGGAGGACCAAACATGAATGTTACATGGCAGAAAGATCAATTTTGAAGACACAGAGCTGAGGTGCAGGAAATGAAGCTTATGCAGGCATGTGTTTCAGACAGAGTGCATCATCAGACTTGGGGAAGCCTCTGTCAAGGGCAAACCTTTGGGCAATACACAGCCAACAGGGTGACCTACAGTCGCACATCACCACTTGAGGCTGAGCTGTGCTCATCTGCACTCGGCATTTGCGGATGGTGAGACTAGTGAGTCATCGCAAGGGCTAGCAGTGGGCTATGGAGCCTCAGCCTGCACCACTGCCCCTCTGTGTCCTCACCTCCCGCCCCGTCTCTGCGCCCTAATCTTCACAACAACCCTTGCTAAAACAACAGCAAGGCTGAAATGCAAATCAGTGCTAACAAGAAGATTGACTCCATGTCCTTACTTCACCCTATCCCATTGCGCCTGGGGCAACATATGGTCTGTGAAAGCTGCCGCTAGACTCAGATTTGTGAAGAGAAATCCATGTGCACAGGAACACTCACAGGCAGCACAACATGGTGAATTGAGGCTATGAGATTTGCAGGTTTTGTCTCAGCTTCTTTGTAAAGAGCGGCTTAAAATGATATCTCTGTAGCACTGCTTGCTTCTGGCTGCTTTATCCTAGCTTCATAGCAGTAAATTAGAGTCAGTGTGGTGATAACAAAATTTATTCCCACTGCTGCCTCCCAGTTCAAAAGCCTCTCTCCAGCATGCCCGCAGATGTTGGTCAGCTTTTACTGAACAGCAGGGTTAAGCTCATCTTATCTGTGGTGTACACATGCCCAGCACAACACAAGGCTATGCTGGCGATGGATGTTGCTCCAGGGCCAACAAGTGACTGGCACTGTAATCTTATAATGTGCTGGCTGCTGAGTCAGTCACCCCCACCTGCAGCGTGACTTCCTCGGTGTGGGCTAAGGAAATCCAGCCATCACAAGAAAACTATCCGAAATTGCTTGTGAAAGCCCCTTCTCACTTACAACGTGCAGTTATCATAGCTAGAAATGGTTTAAAAAATTGATATCAGGTGGTTGCTTGGGGGGTGTGGGTAGAGAGACAGCACTTCTTATCCCAGACATTGAAAATGGGAAAGATTATTTCAGCTTTAGTTTCTAGCTATTTCTGAAGCCAGGCTGTCAGTCACTGTGGCTATCCCTATATTAATGAATAAATAAAACTGTTTTCTGGCTCTGGGGTGGGGTGGCCATTCACAGCTCACATCTGCACAGCCTGTTCCCTCACTGTGCTGCTGCAGCCCTGGCCAGCCAGCTGGCACTGACCAAAACTGGGCTGGGAATTGCTTAATGACCATTGGAGCTGGAGCTGGAGCCCTTTCCCCAGCCCTCTCCTCCTGCTGCCGTAGCCATGGCTGGAGGAAATGCACCTGCAGCCACAAGCCCTGCGCTGAGCTGTGTATTTGTCAAAAATTATCAGCCTGAATCCCTCTCCAACATTTTTGCATACGTTTATGTTGGTCTTACATTTTGCCAGTTTTTAAAAGTTTAACAAAAAACCCCAACAGCACAGGTTTTTTACTTAAGCGCGACACCTTGATAGCCCATGCTGCCGCAAGGGATGACAGATGGGCTCCTATCCTGAGCGCTTCCCAACCGTTGCATACGAAGGACCCCACAGCGATGTTGGGTGTGCGCTGATACCTCTGGAGCTGTGGTCATTTATTTCCTTTCGTTAACCCACGTGTTCAAAAGTGACCGCTTTCTGAAAGTTCTGGAAACAAGGTAGAAAGGACTTACAGCAGTGAGGCAGGCAGGGTTAGAGTCCCCAGGGGGCAGTTAATAAGACAGTTTGGTTCTGGACAGAACAGACAGAAAAGAAGAAGAAAGCAAGTAGGTTGGAAAGAAGAGTTTTAATCAATTATATTTTAAAAGTGAAGATTTCATATCAGCAAGGAAGACATCTCCAGATGTTACTACCCATTCAGATCATGTTACCGCTGTTACCGCAGGGAGACTAATAATCAAAAATAAAAGATAAGCCACTAGCAGAAAAAGATTTAGAAAGCAAAGAAGCAAACAAACCAATCCTTTACAATCCTAGCTCAGTCTCAGAAGTGGGCATAGCATTAAACAAACCAAGCATTTCTACTCAGCAGAGAAAGACATCTGTTATACTTTGCCAACCTTGATTAGGGCTAGGGAAAAACCACATTACTGTGAAAGAGGAATATAGCTGTATTTTTTTTCCTTCGTTTGATTTCAAGAGAGAATTTCTGCTTAGGAAATCTTTAACAAGTGAAAATGCAACTGATACTTTACCTTGCTTATGTTTCTTGTGTTGCTCATGCTTATGTTGCTCAGGTTTGATGAAAGCCCTTTGCCTCACTCTTCTCCCCACTTAACAGTGACACTGGATGGGAAACTCAAAGTAAAGTAAAAGTGCTCTGATTCTGACAACACCTTCCTATCTTTTTAATGTCCCCCCTCCCATGCTGAATGGTTCAATAGCAAGTGTGTGGCAATTGCTCTGCCCTGGCGAGCAGAGGCCGCAGCAGCTGCCGTCTCTGTGGGTCTGTAGGGATGGTTCTTTCTCAGTGCTGTCCTCAAAAATGGGTCTGTCCCCTGGTCCAGGGCTGTGGTGTAACCTCTGTGATTTGAAGCCTTGCTAGTCATAGAAGAAAAATGTTCATACTGCTCTTACATTGTTAGTTAGGTAATGCTCATCTGCATTTTTAATAGTAATATTTATAAATACCATGATATGCAAGTAAGATAGTTGTTTAGCAAATTAGCAGGATAAGACACTGCTAGGCTGCACTGGGTGGATATGAATTTGCTTGTAAGCAGCTCTGGGCAAGTTAGAAAATACAAAGTTATTACTACTCTGTATGCATATGTGCTCACATGGATACATACACATGTGCGTAAATATTTAAATACATATATGAA